TGTGTGATGAGCTCGAGAGTAAGAGGGGAAGAACAGAGAGAGGAGAGGGGAAAGGGGAAGAACAGAGCGAGCCCGTGCTCTCGGGTGGACGAAGGGTTTATGTAGGACGACCTTTAGCACCGGTTCGTGCCAAGAACCGGTACTAAAGGGGCTGGAGGGGTCCCAGTCTGACAACATCCTGCCACCACTCTCATTAGTATCGGTTCGTGGCACGAACCGGTGCTAAAGGTTCGCCACGAACCGGTACTAATGAAAGCGGCCCGGCTAGCCGTTGGAACCGGCACTAATGTATACATTAGTGCCGGCTCAAATACAAACCGGCACTAATGTGCTTCACGTTTGACCCTTTTTCTACTAGTGGAAGAAGTTGTTGGCATGTGCATGTACTACTTGTATACTTTAGATAATCGATGAGTTTCGTGGTGATCCCTTCTTTATTATACTACTACTAAGGCCTCCTTTGGTTTAGAGGAATTTCATAGGAATTCTAGAGGATAGGATTCTTATAGGATTTTTTCGTTTAGAGCTCTTTGGTTCATAGGAATGGATTCCTATTCCTACATAGGATTGGTTTCTATCCTCCACATTTCATAGAAAAATAAAAAAGAGCCTAGACTCAATGAAAAAATTCCTTTGGTGTCAACCAAATGATATCTTGTTTCCTATTCCTACTCATAGGATTTGAGATACATGTCATCTCATTTCCTACAAGATTCTTATTCCTATGATAATCCTATCCTATGAACCAAAAGAGGCCTAAAATAGATATTGTACTGTGTTGTGTTTTGCTTTGTGTATTGATCGCATCCTTTCGTATGAGAATGTAGGGCACAAAGGGAATCAAATACTTAAATGTTTATGTTGCGTCTCCCGCAAAAAAATGTTTATGTTGCGTCCCCCGCAAAAGAAAAATGTTTATGTTGCGAAACTGGTTTTATGGCCAATCTAACGATACTATTCCACCTAGCCCACCTAACTGCTTCATGTCCGGGGTGAAGACTTTTGTTTTGACCTTGATTTGTTGGGCGCAGCAGCGGCGAACTTGCGTTGTTATTTTGTTGAAGACGTTGTTTTCCTACCGATGTGCTGGCCTTCAACGGTTGATCTCGATAATTAGGATGAAAATACTTGTCTTGGCCCTTCTTTGGCTGGATGTGACGGCGGTGTCGTGAGGACGTTTATTTCTTTTGAAAGCGTTGCTGCAAAAGAAATTAACTTAGTTATAGATGTTAATTTCATCTTGTTTGTCGTTGTTATCTATTGTATGTACTTTATATCAGACTTTATTAAATATGATTGTGTGCATTGCAATGGTGCAGATGCCAGGGATTTCAATCTCCTTTTCAAAGAAAAGAAATTAACTACTCCCTCCGTCCCATAATATTAGATCGTTTTATAAACTGTTTTATAGCTTACAGAACAATCTTATATTTTGAGACGGGGGGAGTGGCTTTACTACAGAGAAGTTTGTTTAACCCTTCTAAAGCGTCATCTGTTTTGGAACTGAGTGAGCGTATGATATGCATGTAGCAGCCGGCAGACGTATGCATGCCAAATGACATGTAGTACTAGTTAATTAGTAGTAGTAGTAGTATAAGGTTAGATTGCGCGACATCAATCATTCAACACAGACCGACTATACGAGGTACTGATAGTAGTTTATTGTCGAAGGGCCATAGGCCGTTCTTGGTACGGATAGTAGTTTAGTTAGTTCATCTATGGATTCTGCTTCTTCCTGGACGGGGCATGCTGTGCGCATGCATGGCTGCATGTTTGAGCTGCATTTAACACGCGAGTTCGATGCCAGAGGCTTAATTAACTAGTCTTGCGATTATTATTGTTTGATTAGTAAAACGTTTCAGGCTAGGCTTTACGTACCGGATGACGCAAGGAAGGAAGAAGGAAACAACTCAGGGAAATACTCCAGCTTAGCTCTAGGTCAGACAAACACACGCACAGAGGAAGCCGGCAGGCAGGCAGGCAGGCAGGCAGGCAGGTGTGTTTGATTAGGTTTTATCCTTTACAACGAAATGATGTTTCGTTGGTAGGCAGCTACACACACCACAACCTGATTTGCCTCAAGAATTTGCTCCCGAGAACCTCACTCCGGAATTACTTGTTGTCAAACGAAAGATCTACTAATAGAGTGTAACTTACGCTTCGCTGCTCGACTTTTTTATGTGTTCAACTAACTGCTTTTTTAAAAAAGGTGGCAAAACATTCTCATCAATTAATTGAGAAGAAGAGAGTTGTCAAGTTAATTTACGAAAAATCAGGCAAAAATCGATACAAATAACCCAAAGCGAACTACTCACAAAGAATGAAACACCGTAATCGTCCAAAGGACACTTCAAACACACAACAACCACAATCCTCGACACTTGCACAACTCAACGGAACTCCTGACAAGCACACTTACAATGACAAGAACTGGGCACCCTCCATCATAAAATCATGGACGCCTTTCCGATGGCGCTACTCTTCTTACTTTTGTTCCTTTTTTCATTTCTCCTTGCTTGGTTTCTTCTTAAAGGGGCAACCACTTGTCTTGCCAGCTGGGGGTTGATCAGCCACCCATTTGTCAACGAAATCATAAAACTCATTGAATTTCTTGGTGTAGCTATCGTCAACCAAGACGCTCGTAGGAGCAGGCACCAACACACTGGTCGCATCGACGTCCTCGACCAGAGGGACCACCGACACGACATCATCGACTATAGGAACCATGTCACAATGGACTCAGGCACCTCCACTTGCTCACATGACGGAGGCGAAACATGTCCCTCACACGACTTCACCGATGAGTCCACCTCCAACTGCTCCAAAGACAAGGGCGAAGCAGGACTCGGGCATAGCTTCCGTAGCTCGGGCATGATCTGAAGCACCGGAGCCTCGAGCACAACGTTCTACTCACCCTCAGTGGTAGGCATCACAGGGGACAAGGTCGACTGTGACGATGAATTGTTCTCAGCACGAGGGGAGAAACATGCATATAAGCATATAGCTCTCGCCCTTCTTCCATAGAGCCAACACCCTTCACATGAGAAGGGCACAACGTTGGAGTAGTTTGCGACAAAGCCGGCACAAGGGATAGTCTGCTTAGAACAGTTTCCGCCCACTCCAGAAAGCTCCCAACCCGCGCCAGCCAATCCTGCAGCAGAGTTGTCTGACCAGCTAGAGCGGACTGCAACATCATATAGGGCGGAGTTGCCGAGCCAACAGAAGCCGAGACGATAGACGCCCAAGACCCATGGCGAAGAAGTGCAGGTTGTACAAAGATTCCAGGAACTGTTTTCACAAACAGAAGAAGAATGACGGGGTTGGGGATGGCACCGGGATGTCGGAGGAATAGGGGCGGTACGCTGCATGGAGAATGGAGGAGAAGCATCGGTGTGCTGCTCCAGGGTGCTACTCCAGGTCCACCTCCCTGGTGCCATATCGTGACCTCGAGGCAGCGGTTCACCGTGGACACAATTTGCATGGGGATTGGCCATGGCGGCGAGACGGCAGAGTTATGTGGGCGTGGTGCGGGAATTTTTTTTTGGGAGGTTGTGGGGATTATTTCAATTTTAATTAGATTCAGTGCATCATTATCATTAGGACAGGCGGCTATTATTTTAATTAATCAGATTTGTCATTATCATTACCATTAAAACTAGGAAAGCATAAATCCACCCTTGATAAGGAATTACCAACGTGTCCTCGAGCCATAATCTGACCAATCAGTGCTAACCATTGGATGAACCTAACATTGTGTAGAACAATGTACCATACAAAATCTCTAAATCTATGTTTGTGCAACTAACAACATACTCCCTCCCCTTAACACAGTATAAGACTTTTTTTTTGAAAAGCTATGATAACCACGTTCAATAGATAAATACCCCAAAAGATCATTTCCTTGGTGTAGAAACAAAGAGATTGTTTATCAACTTGGTTCTAAAACGATGGGTGTTATTTTATTTATTTATTTATTTTGCGAAAACGATGGGTGTTAATTACTGACTACCTTGATGAAAAAGAGCCAGCAAGTATAAATGAAGAGCAGACCTCAAGGTGTTCTAAAACAGAGGACACGGGCGGCCAGTGCGGGG